TATGGGTAGTTTGAGTGTGTTTGACATGGGTTTCAAAGACTGTTTTACTATGGGGACCCAATAATTGACAGTTGTATATTGTGGTGTCAAAAACTAGGGCGTAACTAGTGTCAACTATTGGTGACGGGTATTGTTCAATGAAAAAATGCCACAAAGTCTGTCGCCTTATTGTGATGATGACGTATTGAAGGCGGTAGACGTAGTATCAAGATGAATTCCTATCGCAGCAGCTGCGAGAAAATGTGGGATACCGCGGAATATTTTACTGTATAAAATTTTACTATCTTAAAATTTCGTTAAATTTGTATCAACATTTTAGTAAAATGTAATAAATATTCAAATAAAAATGAGTTTTTATTTGAAATTTTGCACAGATACTAGATGAAGTACGCATTATTTTGGGTCCTTTAATATAACTACACCTTTCTGTTACATCCATATATTTTTTATTTCTAGTTTCTATTTTGTTTGTTTTTTGCATGCACTTACTTACCTTGACAAAGGTAAGTAAGTATTCATTTTATGGTTTTGATTATGGTTTTTCTTATTTTTTAAATTTATTGTTATCAAGTGATTAACGCATTTAAATAAGTATGAAATCTTAACATAACGTCCTGTCGAATACTGGTACTCCGATCTCACTGTGCCATAGTCAACCATTGGGACATTAGAAATTTTGCCTGTCATACACTGGTACAATTTGAGAGGTAGCGGAAAACTGGAATATACTAATAATGCCTATGATTATTTTAAATTTTTTAGTTCCTAGAAGATAAATGACAAACCATTTAATATGTTAACGTAGGTACACTGTAAAAACAGATTACTTAGAAAAAGACAAATTTCTTTTTATGAAGACAAATTTAATAAATCCAACAAAACGATCCCCTCCCAATAGACGCTAGAGAATAATTACTTGATAATAGTAAAAAAAACGTCTCAAAAGTGTATTTTAGTTACAAGACAGAAATATTTAATCCAAGAGCAAATTAATTTACTTCAAGTCACAAAGCTACTCTAGATTCAACAAAATATTTATTAGTTTTTTAGAAATGTCCGATTTCGACTTGAAAAAAATAATGAAAAATTGAGAGGTACTTAATTATTTGACTGAATATTTATGTCTTCTAATATCAAAAAACGTAAATTTACTGGGTTATGTACCCAAAAGTAAGTCTGAATAGCGTGAAAGCAAACAGTTCAGTGCCAAATCTTAAAATAGCAGAAGTAGGACGGAATCTTCTCAAATACTTGGGTACCGTTTAGTGGCATGTAATTGCTACAGCGGCAAAAAGCACTGACAATTTTTTTGTTTTATGAATGATATTTTGCAGTTGGCCGCTGATGGCCTTTACTGCGCCACCGGAGAAAGAGGGCGAGCTGAAGGCTCATAACCCCGAAAATAAACTTAAAGCTAAGTAGCGGACCTAAGGGCGCCTAAGTGGGCACGGACCTCGGCTCAGGGCGCTACTGGAGACTTCCGCCAGAAGGGCGTGCTATAGGAGAAAATCTACCACTGTACGTGCTGAAATGAGGGGCTCGACGACCTCGCCGGCGAGGACGGTTGGTGCGTGGGGGACGAGACTGACTAGCGATCTGGTTGGTCTTCAAAGTGCGAGAGTGATAAGGTCGTCAGGGTCGTTGAGGACTTCCCTTGGCCGACGGGTCCTACGTACGCGGTGGGGTTGTTCCCTGAGGGGGTCGTAGAAAGATGCAGCCACCACGAGGGGGTTGGGGTGGTGAGGAGCAGGGTCGAAGTATTTCCTCGATGCCTGTTTCATGAATTGGGCTATTGTGGGGAGCCGTAAATCTGAGGTTTGCTTTGCGCAGGTACCACGGGGCACCCGTCGCGTTGCGCATGAATCTATTTTGGAGGGCCTGCAGGCGGTGTATTAGCGAATGCGACGCTGGCGTACGTCATGATTGGGCGGATGCAGATCGTGTACAGTCTCACCTTATTGCGAAGGGAGAGTTTGCTATGCTTGTTGAGAAGGGGATGGAGCCGGCTCATAACAAAGTGGGCGCGATCGCGAACGGTTTTCACGTGTGCTTTGAATGACAGCTTCTTATCGAGCGAAAATATACGAGATGATTTATACTATTGAAGTTAACAAAACGATAGCGCGTTTCAGAGTACAACTAATGCCATCTAGCAGTGGCGCGATGGAACTAATTGCATGTTAAAGTTGTGCTTGTTACAAGTGTAGTTTGATATCATGCTGAAACCAAATTTCTTAAACCATGACTACAAATAACACACTAACAAACTAGAGAAACTACGTATTGTTCCTGTGGATAAATGACTGTTTATGATTTTTATGATTACAAGCAAAAGTAATCGTTACCGCGTGCGCCTTCGACGACATGTCACGACAACATTGGCTATGAAAACGCAACGAAATGTTGCTTTAAAGATATACTCTAGAATTTAGAATATTAATGTGAGTAGCAAACTACTTCTTTTTTTGTTTAAGAATATATTTTCTTAAAATACACCCAAGAAATTTTTAATTCATTTAAGATTATTTAAATTTGATGTAAGAGGTAAAAATTTCTTGATGTAAGTAATGTCTAATTAATTGATTAGAAATGAATATATAAAATCTTGAAGATAATGTATTTGTTAAAAAGTTAGAATAAAGTTAAGAGTAAAATTGTGTTAGAAAAAGATAAGCAGTATTTTTGTGGTGACAATATTTTATTACTTTTAATAAATATTTTTTCAGAATTAGCAAATATTTTGAGAAATTGCTCTTTCTTATTAGTAGAATTCCTTTTTTTCTGTGTAGTCAGTATGACTGATAATTAAGTACTTTTTTGGCAAAATACATGATTTTCCGTCTAAAAGCGTCAACCACTGGGATATTTACCTTAATATCCCTGAGTAATTTCCGTTGCCCATTGTGTAAAAAAAAAAAATTATATAAAATTGAGACCTTCAACACAACTCTGTTATTTACAGACCCAAAAACAACAAAATAGGAAAACAACAAAACGTCGAATTGCTTACTATGGATATCTAAATCTTTTTCAGTGTTTTCGTTTGTTAGAGACAGGTAAATGTGAGCAAAAAGTTAGAGTAGTTTTGTGTTGCACACCGGAAAGCTTCCCGTGGGGGCCACATAATTCGAAAGCTGAACAAACGACACGGATAACACATGGGTAACGTCTCTACGAAATTACCTTCACTTTCTATGCCAATATGATTGCGTTCCTTATGTGCTCCAACATGAAACCAAAACTAAAATTACAAAAATCGTCCTAACGCTATAAAAGAAAACGCGTTCAAGATTATCCTTACATAAGTACTTGACATATAGAACTACAAGATAGAGAAGGATCGTTCACTATTTTGAATATTATTACGGGGTTGCACAAACTGTTGTACAAATTTCATGCGAGCTGATATAAAATGCCATTAGCTGATCAAATTGTTTATGCAAATCGAATGTAGTTAAAGGGAAAGTTGCTCAAAATCATAGGTCAAAGGTATCTCGTGAGTTTTGTTTGTTCTTTTTTTAAACCCATCCACATTGCGAGCATATTTTAATAGTGATTCACCACACCGCACCTTTCTGTAGCAATGATTCACACGATAACAATTTCCTGGAAATAATTGGATTTAATCAACACGTTTGACACATACCGAATGGCGGTCCTTGAAATGAAGATTTAATTTCCCAATAATCTGCAGACGGGCAACTAGCTAAAGCAACTGGCTCAAGTTGAGCTAACACAAGGAAGTCGTCTCCGTCCAATCCTCGGCGTCTACTGCCAGAAACTTCCCGTTCATTTAGCTCGAACTTCGATAGTTTTCCGCCTGATTTCGGATTGTTGCAAATTTAACACACAGTCAAAGCAAGCTCTTCTGATCGCAAAGGCACTAAATTAGATGCTCAGAAACTGTGCGATCGCTTAGAATATTTTGGATGGTTTTGAAATATGTTACGTTCTAAAGTTAACATTGCTCGTTTAGCTGCAATGCTGCGTGAAATATACTTAGTCAGAGATAATATTAATGATATAAGTGAAGTAGAGCACGTAAATCGACTCTTTAAAGTGACATGACTTTACTAATTGACAAATAAATAAATAATTTTATTAAAATATTTCTTTCATGAACAAAATAGGCAGTAGGTCCCTTAATAGCGTTGCAATGTACGTAGATAAACGCGACAGTGCTGCTTGGTGCTTATCATTTAAAGTAAACAGTTATAATAAAAATTAAATTTTTTCTTGGAATAGCACTCATGTCATCAGCTCTATATCAGTACCAAGTAAACATTTAATGATTGATAAACTCAAAATTAGTGTTACTCAATCGCTTTCTGATATTCTTTGCCTTTTAGTTTTCCTGACTTCTGCTTGATAACTGGTCGCCATAACATTGTGTAATTGATACAGAAAGAGTAGGTAGATAAAAATTAAATGGTACGCAATAGAATACACAGACGACATTTTGGATTGTTCCAGCATCTCTCTGGGCATCTAGTATAAAGGGCTATTACGATGTCAGACGAACCGACAGCGCGGTTTAGAGCCGGCTAACAATAGGCAGCAATGGAGAGGCACACCTGTGACGAACTATTTCAATTGTATACCTAGATATAAATTTACGTTGCATAATATTTTATAAGGCGGTTGCCACTTAGACCGTCTGTCTTTTTGTCGATTGGGATACTGTAAAATTTTGGAGTACATTTATGATTATTCCAAGTAAAAACTGTAACATTTTTGTTAGACAGTAGTTTGAAAACTTAATCTATTCCGAGACCCGAAGTCTATTTTCAAAATTTTATTGCTACTGAACTTAAATTCCAACCTCTACCATTATAATAAATACATTCGCGTTTTCAGACCAAATACAAACCTTACACATACGAAGATTCATAATGGTAGGGCAGACGACAGATTACCAACAGTAATGTGTTGGTTCAATCCCCCCTTGCCGGCCAGGTGTCTCGGCGTGCCACAATAAATAGCTATTTACCGGAGAGTGCGGCCGCCGGAAGGTGTTCTCAATTTGTCGAGCGAAATGAGATTGTCGCCGCTTTCAGTATTAGGTAAGTGGCTTTTACATTTCACTTTGCGGTCCGTAGCCTGACCCTGATTTAGAACGCTTGAACAAGGTGATTCGATTTGACGTGTGTGTACGGTTTTTTGAGAACATGCCTTGAACGTAGTTAAGGTAGAAGGAATTGGACGTCATATTTCTTCAATCATAATAAATAATATCTTATCGCCGCCATGATCGAGCGATAAAGCTATGAGACACTTTGCATAGGTAAGGAAATCGCTATCATGTCTGGTGAATCATCTCTGTACAGTGCAGCGAAGATTGTGATCTCAGACTTTAAGCAGATATACAGGCTTATTTGTGAAATTCTGACAAACTCACCTCACCTATATTTTATATTATCATAAACAATAACTTTTGTTCTAAAACTTTCTACATAACAATGAATTTACCAAAATACACTTTTAACTTTTGTCTGACACTTTTTGGATCTATATTACGTAAATCCAATGAACACCACGCCAACTTTATTTTTTAGTAATTTTCTGTTATTTTTTGTAAACAGCCATATTTATTTACTAATATTGTGCTCCCCGAATTTTGTGAACAAAAAATTAAGAAACAAAACACTAAATTCGAAACAAAAAACAAATACACAAATTTTGTGAAAAACAAAATAAAGAAACAAATAACAAAATAAAAACAGGATAGGTGCAAAAATTAAGTTAAGGCGTAGTACTCGACAACCTCCACCCCGCTCCTGTGTTGTGCATCACACGACAGAGGGTATCATTGTCTATAGTAAAATCTGATTAATTGAAATGAAAAAGTTATGGAACAAAAGTTGTTGTTTATGTTGTTAGAAATATAGTCCTGTGAGGCTGATAGTATTTTACAAATAACTCTGTATAGTAGATTAATCGATATCGTTTCCATACGGTCAATACCAACAAATATGTTTTTGCGTCCGTATCTTCGAAAAGGAATTGCACAAAAAAAAATTCGGTAGTCTGTTTTGTCATTCTCGCCAAACGTGTTCTCGCTACTAAAAGTGTTGATCAGTCTTCGAGGATTTACTTACCAGTGAATATTTGCTAATGAGTTTGTATTATGTACATTCAATTATACTGACGACAATGACATCATATTGGCAGGTAATTCACCAGAGTCTAGAGTAGAGTAACTATTTGCCAATTTTTTTATCTTGGTATGAAGGTATAGCGGCAAACAATCTCATAATTAAATTAAGGTAAACACAAACCCGAGGCAAAAGACGTTAACGGCCTTCAAGGCTATATTTGCGTACTAAATGTACTCCGCAGGTACTTACGACATCTGTACAGTATAATTAATGTTGATGATGGTGTTCAAAACACATTCAATACCTCGATGGCCCAGCGGTTTTCACTGTGGAGCGGTTACACACGGCGGCTTTTGGAAACGACACAAATGCGCGTTTGTGAAACACGCGATTGCATCGCGACACTTGCGGTTTATACACGATTGCATCTATACAAACGCGCGACTGCATCGATGCAGTCGCTTATGTTCAATCATTATGTGAGAAAAATCTCTATAGGTTTATGCAACCATTTGCATTGTTTCGTTAATTATAAATTTAAAAGAAAAATAAGTAAATAAACAAAAGAAAATAATTAATTAATTGCCTAATTAAAAACATGCATGGGGTTTGCATTGCATTTGTAGTTAAAATAAATAAATAAATAAATTACCTAATTAAAAACTGGTCTGGGGTTTTCATCGCGTTTGTATTGCGTTAGGATCGCGATTGTATCGTTGCATAAGTCGTGCATGTGCAAACGTAAACGATTAGAAACTGCATCTTAAGTGACTGAATCGCTGCAGACGCGCTGTTAAAAGTAGCAGTGTGTAACTGTCTTAAACTCAAAACTTAAACTAAGTAACTAAGAAATTAAACTATTTTTTCGGATCTAAATAGCGTATATTTGTTTCTTCAAACAAACCAACATTTCAATAATTAGCCGTGACCATGGAACCCATACAAAATGGAACCCAGTAAAATATCTGAAACGTTAGTTGGTTTGAAAAAACAATATACGCGATGTAGATCCGAAAAAATAGTTTCATTTTCTGAATTGATTATGATATGAGTGTTCTGGGTAGAGCCCGGAAAAATTCCTTACTTTGAAACCAGATAATTGGTGTCTGGCATATTGTTTTCATTTGTAAATAAATAACAACTTAAGTAATTATAACGTTTTAATGAAGTATCAATTAGAAAATAACAATTAAAGTAATGATTAAAGTTGTTATAATTACCAACTTACACGTTTGTTATTTCTAAATACTATTTACATATATATAGAGGTTATAATAAGTGTGATTTAATACACTTGAGTACCAATGGCACATACGCAAAAGAATTCACAGGCTCAACAAAAAACAAGTTTTGATGTGCAGAGAGTTCAGTAATACGGGTACGATTACGCAAACCAGTGGTGTATAAGAAATTAAATAAATCTCAAAAGAGACTACCAAAATGTTCACAAAGTGTTCGACTATGCTTATTTGCTTTCAACTTACAATTACTACATACGCTGCCGGATTTAACTATGCGAGAGGTAAACAAACAATTCGTTTTTCTTTTGGTTACCGATTTGGTTTTACGTTTAAAAAAATGTACACAATATTTGCCTTAACTCGGAATTTTTAATCGTAAATGGTTTTTCTCTGGAAGTGATCCACAACTGTTTTTATAAATTTTATCACAGTGGCTCTAATTAAAGTGACCTTATAAACAACTTTTATTGATTATTAATTTTGAATTACAATAAATAGATAAAGTGTCGGCTGTGATTTTTTTTAAAGCTGCGATACTTTTTTATCAGAAAAGCGGTCACCGCAGGAAACCTGGTCGGTCACCCAACTGCAATTCCAAAAGACCGATGGCAATACGAATCAACCACTTGTCTTTTGGCAGCCTGAAAATGTAACAACCCAAGGATACGTTGCAAAACTTCTAGATTTTACTCAACAACAAGAAAATACTAAATTATTGCAGAATTTCAATAATAACGCACCAGTACCAAATTATACGGAGGGAACTTCATCGTATCCCGAGAGCAACCCGCCGAATCAGCAAGATAAAGGTGATTATAGCCCACTACCTCATCGGGAAAGATATCCTCCACCTTACTGGGGATACCCCCACCCCCTTGGTGGAGAAGATATCCATCTTTTTATCACATTTACTGGAATTATTATAGAAAACCCCCACCACTTCCAGGTAACCAAGATGATAGGCGCTCAGCGGGAGAACATTGGGATTACAACCAAAACAATACAAATTCGCTCTATGACGGAGAGTCGGCTCATCAGGGCGAACCACCGCCTTCACTGTGGGGTCCACCACATTACCGACCCTGGGGTTCACCTGCATACGGGTTCTGGGGTCCACCACCTTACCGACATTGGGGTCCACCACCTTACCGACACTGGGGTCCACCACCTTACGGACGCTGGGGTCCACCACCTTACGGACGCTGGGGTCCACCACCTTACGGACGCTGGGGTCCACCACCTTACGG